GCGGCCCGGGGGGCTTTCCCGGGGCTGGGGGGCAGCCGCGTCCCTGGTGCGGTGCTGGGTGCCTGGGACAGCCCTGGCATGGGGCGGGTGCTGGGATGGTGCTGGTGGTGACTCATTAACCAGCTGGCCAGCGCCCGGCACAGCGGGGTCACTGGTGGGTGACTGGTGGCTTTTACCAGCTGATGTCCCTTTGGGCTCACTGCCATCCCCAGGCCCAGTTGGGCCTCTCCACCCTCACCCCCCGCAGCAGTACAAGCCCCTCACCCCAGAGTCAGGGTTGGGACCTTCATGGTGGCGGGACTAGCCAGAGGTGGTCAAGGTGACCGGGCCACAACCTGTGTCCTGTGCTGAGCACACCAGGACCCCCCTGGGACCCCCCTGGCTTGGGGCCTCCTCCCCTCCTGCTCCTTCGGGGAAGCAGCTGCCAGGGCAGCCCCGGAGCGGGGCCGGCTGCTCCCTGCCCCTCTGCTCTGACGTGGGAATTTTGGCTCGTACGGGGTCCCGCAAGTGATTCCAGGAGGACACGCTGGACTGGTGCCAGCTGGGCCAGCTCCTACCTGGCAGGGGCCAGTTGGGGCACAGGGGCACCCACTGACCCACAGCCTCTGGGTAGGGTGACCCTGGGGAGAGGCTGTGTTGGGGGGTCTCATGCTGTCCTAGTGCCCCCATGCCTGGGCCTGAGTCCTGCCACTGTCCCCCTGCAGACCCTGGGGTAGGAGATGGGGACAGGAACCCCCAGCTGCAGCCAGTCAGCAGCACCCTGGGCCACACCCAGCACGAGGCAGGTGTTAACTCTGAACCCTAATGAAGGCTTCCATCCCAGGACCTGGCAGCACCAGTGTTCTGCCCTCAGAGTGCATAAAAAGACCTCAGCAGGGGAGCCTGCTAGTGAGGTTTCCTGGCAGAAAAATACCACCCCCCAAGCTCTGCTGTTGCCCTCTTCTGGACCCCCTGGAGGGGGCTCAGTGTGGTGAATCCAAGCCTTGCAGGGTCACCTGGCTCCCCAGCTCGGAGCTGCTGCCCCAGTAGGTCAGTGCTTTCAGGAATCAGGGTGGGGGGATGTGAATCAGTGTCTGGTGGGGCGCCAAAGCCCCTGTAAGCTTTCCAAGAAAGGAAGTGGTGACCAGACCCGAAACCTCGTGGCTGTCAGGTTGCTGGCCCAGCACATCCCCCTGGGGCCAGCAGGGGGGCTGCCCTGGGTACTCACCCTGCTGCAGTTCTGCCTCATGCCCACCCCTCCTCCCTGGGAGGTGCCTGACCTGGCACCTGTGGCCCCTTCCTGGTGTCTGCCAAGAACCAAACCCAGGTGTCCCTGAGTCCCCAGTGCCTGATCCGGCCTCCTCGTGCTGGCTGTGCTCTTGCCTTCCCTGCTCTGCGGATGAGTCTGGCCCAAGGACCCCAGGATTGGCCCTGGCTCGGGGACAGGCTGAGCCCATTGTCCCAGGCAGCCCTGCACTTGATCCTGGGCCCAGTTGGGAGGTGCCGGGAGATTCCCAGATTTCCCCAGACAAGACCAGCTTGTCTCAGATGGTGGTGGAACCCACCCAGGGGTGGCTGCACATCCCCTATCCCCATTGCTGGTGTCTGGGGGGTAGTGGGGCACAGGGATGGCTCAGCCTGGCCCCCATCTGCTTTTCCCAGGGGGGTGAGGGTGGCTCAGCCCTTTCCCTGGGTCCTGGAGTCCCTGTCCCCCCATTCTGGAGCTGCCTGGGCCAGTGCCAACACCCAGGGAACATCAGTCCCAGTCCTGGGGGTGGCCCCAACTCATGGGGGGAGCAGATCACAGAAATCAGCCCCACATGCACTCACAGTCACAAAAAAACCCACAGCAGGAGCCAGCCAGGCTGGTGTTTTTTCTAACTTTTATTTTAAAAGTCATAATTGATGCTTAACAAAGTTTGACCCCATTATTGTTGTGAGAGCTGGGGGCACCCGCGGTCCCGGGCTCCTGCCCCCCACCTGCCCTGACCCTGCATCCCCTGGAGCTCCCAAATTCCTGGTCTGCGCCTGTGCCGGGCTCAGCCACGACCCTCACCACCAGCAACCTTAGAAGAATGTTTAGTTCTTGGGGAAGGGGGGATGGGGGCACAGGGCCCGGGGGCCCAGGGCACCCCCCTGTCCCCTCCCGCAGCACAGACATGCAGGTATTTATAAAAGAAAGGCAGAGGGGGAGGGGGCTGCGGGGGGCTCCGCTCAGACAGCATCTTCCCTAGGGACAAATAAAAAAATACAGCTGGGCCCAAGGGTCATGGAAAACCGTCGTCATCGTCCTCTGCCATCTCCTTGGCGAACTCCAAGTCCTGCTGCTCGCGCTCCCGGCGCTCCTGGAAGGCAAAGGCAGAGGTTGGTGGCAGTTTGGGGACAGGAGCTGCAGCCTCAGTGGCTGTGGGGACCCTGGTGAGGTCTCACCTCTGCAGATTCCAAGTCCTTGTTGTAAGATTTGGGTGGGAATCTCATGGCCTGGAAAAAAAACCAACAGGAAGGGAGAGAGGCTCAGAGTTGGGAAGCACCAGGACTCTGTCCCCATGTGCCCTCCCTGCCCAGGGCCCCCAGCCTCACCTTGACAGACATGTTGTGGATGTCCAGGCAGAAGGAGATGCGCTGGTGAAAGGCCAGCTGGGGCTCACGGGTGGAGTAGATGTCGATCATCTCCTTGGACTGGACGTAGCCCTTCTCGTGGTTGATGCTGGCCTCGATCACACCATCCCGGATGGCCTGCAAGCCGAGGGCACCAGGTCAGGGCACCCGCTGCCGCGGCCGC